TCGAGGCTTAAATTTTTTCTTCAATTCTTTCAGCTTGAGAAATGCTGAATGTGTTTTTCCCTTTTGGTTTTCAAACTCCAGGTCTTTGCACATTTCATTATAGTAATTGGTTTTGTTTGCTCGAACTGCTCTTTGAAATCTTCTGTTCAGCTCTTTTATCTTGTCATTTCTTCTATTGGCTTTAGCTACTCTCTGCTCAAGGGTAAGTTTCAGAGTCTCTTCTGTCATCCATTTTGGTCTTCTCTTCTTTTCTCATCTTTTTAGTGATCTCTTGCTTTTCTCATGGACGATGTTCTTGACATCCTCCCACAATTCTTCTGGTTTTCAGTCGTTGGTGTTCAATGCATCAAATCTATTCTTTAGATGATCCCTAAATTCAGGAGGGATATATTCAAGATCATATTTTGGCTCTTGGACTTGTTTTAGTTGTCTTTAACTTCAAGTTTAACTTGCATATGAGCAGTTGATGGTCTGTTCCACAATCAGCTCATGGCCTGATTTTGGCTGAAGATATTCAGCTTTTCCACCGCCTCTTGCCACAGATGCAGTCAATCTGATTCTTGTGTGTTCCATCTGGTGAAGTCCACATGTAGAGCTGCCGTTTGTGTTGTTAAAAAAAGGTATTTGCAATTAACAAGTCGTTGGTCTCGCAAAATTCTACCATGTGAGTTCCAGCATTATTTCTGTCACCAAGGCCAAATTTTCCAACTACCGGTGATTCTTCTTTGTTTCCAACTTTTGCATTCTAGTCACATCCTGATTGCATGTTCGGCCAATTTCACACTGCAGAAGTTGATAAAAATCTTCAATTTCCTCATCTTTGGCTTTAGTGGTTGGTATATAAATTTGAATAATAGTCGTATTAATGGGTCTTCCTTGTAGGCATATGGATATTGTCCTATCACTGGCAGCATTGTACTTCAGGACAGATCTTAAATCATCCTTTGTGATGATGAATGCCATGCCATTCCTCTTCAAACTGTCATCCTGGCATAGTAGATCATATGGTTGCCTGATTCAAAATGGCCAAAACCAGTCCATTTCAGGTCACTAATGCCGAGGATATCAATCTTTATGCGTTCCATTTCATTTTTGACAACTTCCAATTTTCCTAGAGTCATACTTTGTACATTCCATGTTCCAATGATTAATGGATGTTTGCAGCTGTTTCTCCTCAATTTGAGTGGTGCCACATCAGCAAATGGAGGTCTCGAAAGCTTTACCTTATCCATAGGAGTAAGGCTGGGTTTACTCTGATGATGCAGCTCTTTCCCAGTACTATTTTGAGAGCCTTCCAACCTAACCAGACTATTCATAAGGTTTCGTGGTAATGTATCAGACAGTGTTTCTTTGCTATTCATAAGGTTTTCCTTGGCCAATTCTTGGAGAAGTGGGCGGCCTCCTTCTTCTTCTTAGTCTGTCTCGGTCTGTAAGCTGGGCTGATACCTGTGCACCATGTGCATCTCGCTGGGTTTGAAACACCAGTGGCTCAGACTGAAAACTCACATCAACATGTCACCATGGTAGGACAAACCGACAGACAAGTTTGTCTTCCTGTTGGAAACCTCTCCTACCACCCTTACCTGGGTCCCTATGGTTGACTCCCATTTAACCCATACCCCTATGAAAACACAGAACGTTTTAATCACTCTGGAAGTTCCCTCATGTCTCTGTCCGGTCCATCATGATGTTCATACCATTCCTAAAGCAATTGCTTGCTTTTTCCACTAAAGATTAGTTTTGCCTATTCTAGGTGGTCAGATAAATGGAATCATGCAGCAGGTACTCAATTGGTTTCTGAGACTTCTCCATGGTGTTGAAAGCCTCAGTTAATTTCAACCTTTTCATCTCTCAATAAAAATATAAATATATAATTAAATATATCTTAATTTGTTTTCCATTCACCAGTTGATGGATATGAGTACCCTTTCTAGTTTTTGCCCCTATGATTTAAGCTGCTATGAACATTCCGGTCTTTTCTTTCTTTTTGACATATGATATTGTTTCTTTCGCGTAAATGCCTAAGAATGAGTCTGCTGCATTCTTAGAGTACATTTAGTTGAATAAAAAAGATGCCAGACCTATTCCCTATTCTCCTTTACACTCCCACCAATAATGTACGCTCCGCATCTTTACCAACACTTGGTGAAATCAGTCTTTTTAGTTTTAGCCATTCTGTTGAGGGTGTGTTGGAGATACATATTTTAAGAGTGATCCTATCATCTCCTTCCCATCAGAACAATATCTGCTCCTTACTGAGCTGTAAATCTAAAGATTTTACCTCAGAAGTGGGGGCCAAGGTGGGCTTATCACTTCTAGAGCCTTTATAGAGGAGAAGGATATTTACTATTTGTCCAACTCCTCCATCTTGCTGAGGAAGAATAGGTTAAAATATCAAAACAAGCCTTTGACTGAGTGAAGCTGATCAAAGTTTCATGATATATTTTGAAGCAAAGTATTCCCACATTAAATCACAAACTTTGCCTCTGTTTCCAGCAGGATTTAAAACTTTCATACTATTCTAGAGAAGAAAACTTTCTGATACTCAGGTTCAGCCTATGTTCTTTCCTGCTTTCCCATAAACTCTACTTTATGTGATCATTAGTTCTAAGGCAGGATTGATGCCACTGATGCCCCCATTTCACAAAGAAAGTAGCTGAACCTGAGCTGAGAGTCATAAGCACAGGATTTATAACTCCTCCTTCATATACATGCTCCCTACCTTCCTCAGGCATGCCTCTCCCCTCATAGGCAGCTCTTTCATGGTGGCACAAGTATGGCAGCCACTTCCTGCCCTCCACCATGGAGAACAGTGCCCTTGGCTTTCAGACACTTGGGTGTCCAGCTCATGCATGTATATAGGGTTGGATGTTGCCCAAAGAGACATTAAAAAATGCATACTCACATATATAATTATGATACCCATTTTACAGATCCAAAAGTGAGATTCAGAAAAGCTAATAAGTTACAACTAGTAAGTGGCAAAGCCTGAATATTCACATCTCGGTTTTTCAGCCCTCAGATAATGTTTTCTTAACTCCTACATGGTGGTTTAGTGGTCGGATTCTCACTTTCCATGCAAGAGACCTGGGTTTGGTTCCCATTCAATGCATGTCATGCACAACCACCACCTATCTGACCATGGAGGCTTGCAAATTGCTATGATCCTGAACAAGTTTCAGCAGAGCTTCCAGACTAAGACGGACTAGGAAGAAAAGGCTTGTGATTTACTTCCAAAAAGCAGCTAATGAAAATGCCTATGGATCACAACGGTTCAGTGGGATCTCCATGAGTCAGAAGCCAACTCAACAGCAACTAACAACAACAACAACAACATATTTCCCCTCTATTAAATGGTACCACCAGCAGACAAACTAAAGATTCCCAGCATGGTCTTGAATTGTTCATGTCTGTGTGATCTACACTCCTATCATTTTCTGCATCTTTATCAAGTTCTCCCCTCAAAATTGTTCAGACCTAACCAAATCTCAGGAGAACATGAAAGAGACTGGCTAAAGCTGTGAAAGAAAAGATGTAAATCCAGATCTTAAGTAAATCCAGACCTTTTTTGGAAAACACAGCTATATCTAGTGAAGAGACTCTAGCAGTGAAATTAATAAGCAGCATGTGCATTTTTAATATCTCTCGCCTGGCTCTGGAAACCTCACCTATTCCGTTACCCAGAATGCTGGGACTTCCTTACTAACTTGTTCTAATGGTTTCAATACAGATTGCCTAAGAAGCTACCCCCACTGAACAGAGACTTTGTGGGATGTAGCAGAATTGAGGGCAAAAAAGAGTGAGAGTCCAGGTTTGTTGTAAGAGCTGACCTTTTGCTACCAACTCTGCTAGTTTTTATCTGTTACTGACATGAGTCCAAAGTATATAGACTCTTTCAGCCTAACACATTTTCATTAATTGCATCCTTATTTCAATAAGACCTTGGTGCTCATGGTGGACAAGGCCACTTGCCCTCCACTCTACCCCTTATAGTTTACCTTTCTGTACTCAAAAGGCTGGAAATCCAACAACAACATTTTTCAGACTCTCTTGCATTCTACATACAATTAGGTTTCACCAATTGGATGTACTTGCATGAGTTCTGGAAGGCAGAAATGAGGCAGACACCATCTCCTCTGGCCCCCTTTTAAGTAAGCTGTTTTTTCAGACCAGTAAGTTTATAAAAAGGTAACCTATTTTTTTTTTTCCACATTATTATGCCAATGTTCAATCTCCAACTTCTCCAGTGTTGAGTAGTTGAGGTGGTTGGCGGAAGCAGCTATTTGATTCTGGATTTCTGAACCCTGCACTGTGCTATGGGGATATGTCTTGAGCCCTCCATTCCAGTGATGATCTCTGAGCATAGCTCAGTTCTGTATTGCCCCAGGTCCAGACCTACCTCCATTGTCTCCTTCTCTATCCTAACCATAAGCACTAACATTTCTTGAATGCTGACTATGTATTAGGTACTGTGTTAAATGCTTTACACAAATCATTTCATTTAAATCCCAAAACAACTCCATGAGAAAAGTACTATATTCTTTTGCTATTAATGAGTCAACTGAGGTTCAATAAAGAGAAGTAAATTGCACAGGATCAGAATAAAACTAGTGGGTAAGTGATAGAGCTTGAATTTGAAGCCAGATTGGCCTCATCTATCTGTGCTCTCTGCCTTTTTGACGATATTTGATGGCCTGTGACCTATTAGCAGATTTTAATTGCCTGTACATATTATTTTGCTAAAAAGACCTCATTCTTTTCCCTTAAAAAATACAGATACAGAAGCCAACTGATTCTGAACTAAGATGTACCTACATATTGAAGAACTCTTCAATTTAATTAAACAGAAAGGCATTAAAAAGTTCAGGGGTATCATTTCATGAGAGCATTTCTAAACCTACCCAAGATCTTCTTTATTGTAAAATTTAAAGCATTAAGATGAAAGCAGGCATGGTCGTCTACTTGCGAGAACCGAGCTGGTGGAGCAGACAAGCACTTACCAGGCGCTCTGTTCACAGCGAGGTTTCGGAAATGACTGCCTTTGATAATTTCCACAGATAATCGCCCTGTTGTAGCATTGTAAGACAGCCCCACCAACAGCTCTGGCGCGCCTCCATGGGACAGCGACTGCGTAGATGAAGCACTGTCACTGTGAGAAACTGCAGATGGGCTGAGCTGAGACTCTCCAGTCTGGAGGGGAAGAACAACAAAGACTCCATTGGCCCATGCTGCACTACTCTCTTTTACAGCCACCCGATATTATGTTTGGTGAAATTGTGACCCAATCTCAACAGCTGCCAAAGATTACTAACGGCGCACTCGGTGTGAATTATAATGCGCCTGTGGAACACAGTCATGGATGAGATGCTCTGCATTACTGGCTGACATATTTGTTTCAAGAGCCATCTCCATTCAATATTTCCTCTCTGAAGACGAAACAGACAAAGATGTTATTACTAGTGTAAATCAAACCCTCTAAGATACATGGAGAGCTAATAATACATTTCATAAAGATCAGAATTCCCTCCTGTGCAATTTGTGCTTGGATGTTTCTATGGAACCTTCCATTCTGGGCATGAGTTCTGTTTTCATTCTCTGCAGCTTCTCAATGAATGTAGCAATACAGGTTTTTTTGTCTTAATTATAGAAGATGTGACCATCGGATGTCTACCACCACATATAACACTTGGCCCTAGTTCTGCTTCTTGAGATTGTCAGGTATATTCAAGGTACTAAATTTTTCCTCCTGAGGAAATGAATTGAATGATACAGAAGGACTTTACAAGTGTTTGGTAATGAAGCTGACACAAGGACTATGGACCCCAGCAACCTAACAGGCACAAAGTGAGCCCAGGAAAGAGTCTGGTCATGTTTATTCATGCGCACATTTGTCTTGAGCACCCACCGTATGAACCAGGCAATTTGAAAGGAGAAGAGCAAAATCTACCAGGAGCTTAATCCAAATTAAGAAGTGGGAGTGGGAACAGCCCTGCTGGGGCAGGCCAGCCAGCCTCCCTGAGCTATCATCTCCACCACCAGAAAAGAGTGTATTTCATTTTGCTTAAACCTTTCAGCACCTGAAATCAATTCCTATGACTTCTTATAAGGGACCTCCATAAACAATATTGATAAAAGGGGTCAAAGATACTCTACATCTACAGAAAACTATCCATTTATCAACCCATGGTCATCTCTGTAGAACCCTGAGCTTTCATGAAGCACAATTTGTAAACTGCTGGACTAGGTGGATTTATAGGTGTTTTACAGCTCTGCTAAGTGATAATGATCCAACAATGAAATATTTGCTTACTTTGGGGTGAAGATCACCTCTTCCCTCCTTTCTTCCCACAGGTATGCATCTCTCATTCCCTGGTCCATATGGACTTTGATTTATAAATCTCTCACTCCCTAGTATGGCTGTATATAATCCCACCCAGAAAATAACTTGTGCATGGGAGAATGTTCACATTCAAAGCTCTCTCCCACTAGCTCACTTTCCCCATTCAACTCTGTGCCCCCTGCACACAGCGCTGGTCCTGGCACACAGAAATATGGGCATGATCATACCTAACATGTGTTTCATAGTGAAGGCTCCCTTCTGATCTCCTTGGCTTCTGTTTACCAACATTTCAGATCAACTTCACTCAGAGCTTTAGAAAAATGAAGGATTTGAGCAGAGGAGAGATATGATCTGACTTATGTTTCAAAGGCTCATTCTGGCCCCTGTGTTGAGAATAGTCAGGGGTGAGTGTGGGAGGGGGACGACAGAAGTAAGGAATCCATTAGGAGGCTACTTGAGTAATTCAGTAGAAAGTTAGTTCTAGATATATTTTGAAGATAAATACAATAGTATTTCAGGTGGAAAAAGAGAGAAGCAACAAGTGACTCCCAAGAATTTGGACCTGAGCAACTAGAAAGATGAAATTGCCAACATGAGGAAGCCTGCAGGTAGATCTGTTGTTTTTGGGTGCCATGAAGTCAATTTCAACTCATAGCAACCCCATGTGACAAAGTAGAACTGCCCTATAAGGTTTCCTTGGCTGTAACCTTTACAGAAACAGATCTTTGAAGACACTGGGTGGATTCTAACTGCCACCTTTTGGTTAAAAGCCAAATACTTAACCATTGTGCAACCAGGCTCCTTAGTGTAGATTTAGGAAGACAAAAATCAGGATTTCAAATCTAGAGCTGTTAATCTTGAGACATCTATTAGAAATTCAAGTGGATGGGTCCCCTACTCACTTCACTCCAGCTCTCTGGCTCCTTTGCTTGTCCACAAACACGACAAGTTCCTTCCCACCTCCAGACTCCTGTCCTTGCTATTCTGTCTGCAATGCTTGTCCCCAGTGAGGTCACCAGGGCTGCTCCCTCAAAGAAATCTCTGACCTCTCTACACAAGCAACATCCTGTCACTCTCTCTCCTTGCCCACCTTATTATCTTGTGTATCATCACCCTCCTCCACTAGATTTTAAGCTCCATGAGGGCAGAGGCATCTCCTGTTCTGTTCTTTCCTCCAAATCCATTTGCCTCTATAGTACCTGATATACAGCAGGCACTCAGTAAACATGATTGAATGAATGAATGATTGGCCAACAGTCAAGACAGCTACCTGATCTTTTTTGCATGTTTTTTTTTAAAAAGGAGAGCTTCACATTAGATGCAATAACTCACAGCAACAGTAAGCTTCCCATCATGTAGACATTTAAGCTCCAGTGTCTTGGCCTAGGACCTTACATAAAGCAGAGAAATGGGGCACTTGAGAGGATTCCATATAAGTGGAAGGTCTGTAGAAGTGGCAAGGTTTTAGGCCACTGTTGCAGGCTGCTCAGGTGCACCTGCTACAGGCCTCTCCCAGAAATTATAATTTCTAAGAGTCACCATAATACAGACAGGGGCCAGGGGCAGGGGACACCATTCCACCACTAACCAGAAGGCCAAACCACCTCTCCTGGTCTTGCCATGCCCTCCATCATACTACTGCCCTCATTTCCTAAAATGGACAGGGAATACATCCATCAGGTTATTGGGAAGACAGGCATGAAAAACCCATTGTGCCATGAGGTACAAATCATGGCTTATAAGGATGGGGAGAGCCAAATGGAAAATTAAATTAAGGTCTCTGAATTCACAGGCTGAATACACTAAATCAAGGGTGACAATTCCAGATCCTCGAACACACCGTTTCATTAGCAGCATCACTTAACATACTCACACTTATATTATTTCTTGGCTCCAGAACCAGAGTCACTTTCATTTCCCCTTCTGGGTGCAGTTGGCTAAGATAGAACAGCTTCTCTCCCATCATTCTCTCGCGGGTCATCCTGCGGGCAGCATACAGACGGAAGCGCACAGCACAGGCAGCTACATCTCTGGGCTCCAGCTTGGCAAAGGCGACCTTCTCCCTGAAGATGGGGTTGGGCCCTCTCTGTATGCTTGTCTTGCTCCTCTGTTTCTTACTGGGCAGCAGCACTATATGAACTTGCCAGGAGTTGACCCCACTTCGGTCCTTGTCTGGGAGGCCCTGTGCTCTCATAATGGTCACCGTGAGTTTCTGGCTGGAAGCTTTATATTCAAAGATGACATCTAGGTCACCACATTTTGAGATGGGATCTGGGGCCCCAGATGACCCCTGCAAGTTGGTTTCATCCTGTTCCTGTTGTAAGCAGAGGAAAAGGTTAGGAGTGGAAATGACAATGCACAATAATACATTACAGGGATGATGTCCCTTTGTGCTCCTGCAGAAGCCATGCTTTCCGAGGTCTAGTGCCTATCCCTCATCTTGGAAAGGTCTGTGGATTGGTCCCTCTCTCCATTAGACTAGGAATGCTTTCAGGACACATGGACAAGCACATGGTGAGTCTCCATGTGAGTTTTGAAAGGAATGAGTAAAGTTTTTCTATTTTGCAAAGTATTTTCATATGCACTGTTGGTGGCGTAGTGCCTAAGGCATTTGACTGCTAACCAGAAGGTTGGCAGTTCAAACCCACCAGCCACTCCTTGGAAGGAAGGTTGGGCAATCTACTTCCGTAGTGCCACCTCCTCAGAAACCCAAAGAGGGGTCTCTATGAGTCGGATCCAACTCGACAGCAGTGTGTTGCATTTTGTCTGGGTTTCTCAAAAAGCACAATGACTCATTATCATTGAAACCAATGGAGATACTAAGCCTAAAATTAAGTCAACCATGCAATTAGAGATATCTATCACCAGTGAGTAGGAACCTTGGTGGCACAGTGGTTAAGTGCTCAGCTGCTAACCAAAAGCTTGGCAGTTTGAACCCACTAGCTGCTCTGTGGGAGAAAACATCTGATGATCCGCTCCCATAAAGACCTGGCAATCTGCTGCCATAAAGACTTAGCTATCTGCTTATGGGGCAGTTCTACTCTGTCCTTTAGGGTCACTATGAATTAGAATTAACTCCATGGCAATGGGACTTGGTTTATCACCAGTGGATGACTTTTCCTGGAGTTTCCAGGAGAAAGGTTGAGCCTGGGCCAGTGTTCTATGGGCCAATAGCTCCTGCAGAGAAGAGTCCTAATGGGGAACTGGGAAGGTAAAATCCTTCTGTACATTTTCAAACAAATGGGAGAAAAGGTTTATGGCAGAACTTCTGAAACTATAATGTGCATTTGAATCATCTAGGGATTCTGACTCCGTAGGACTGAGGTAGGGCTTGAGGGATGCCAATATTGCTCCTCCTCAGACCACCTTTTGCATAGAAAGCTTTTAGGTGGGAAGCCCAGCCCTGAAGATTCATGGGTGGTACAAATGGTTGGAAGGTTGATGGTTTGAACTCACCAAACAGCACTACCAAAGAAGGGCCTGGCAATCTGCTTCCATAAAGATTGCAGCCAAGAAAACCCAATGGAGCTCAGCTCTGCTCTATAACACATGGGGTCACCATGAGTCAGAATCAACTTGACAGCCACGGATTTGGTGTTTTTGTTTGTTTGCCCCAGCAGCTAGTTAGCAAACAACAACGCTGGACTTGAAGCAAGTACATTTGGATTGAAAATCATTGCTGCACCACTGACTTGTTCTTATCTTAGCCAAGTATCTCATCTTCTTCGGATTTTTGCTGAAAAACAAACTAAGATGCCTCTGTGTTAAGAGTTGTGGGGTTTTGATAGATATGAAAATATCTGGGTCAGAGCAGACTCCAAATATATCTATTCCCATCACTGGAATGGTGCTCCCTATTTTCAAACCCAGCCTCCCCCTTTCTATAGTATAACCTTGGAAAGCAATTCACCTATAGCCACTCAGATCTGATGACTTCACTGAGAAGACTGAAGTGCATTTACTATAATGAACCACTCTGTAAACAATCCTATTTTCCCTCTAAAGGCATGGCTCTTACCTGTAACTAAACATTGCATTGATTCTTACTGTGTGGCAGTTATTGTTAATGCAATTGAACAAAAAATTCTGCTAATTTAGAGACTTCTTCATTTAAAAATACATAATAAAGCCCCTAAAATGTTCATTCATCATTGCCACTTTCCCACAGAGTTCAGGCAGAAGTACACGATTCTCTGGAAACAAATATTAGGAATCTCAGGTCTGCCACTGATGAACACTGTGACATTGGGCAAGTTATTTCAGCTTTTCCACAATCTGCTCTCCTCAACAGTAAAATGGACAAACCAACCAACCAACCAACCAGTTGCCATCGATTTGATTCTGACTTATAGCGACCTCGTGTGTTTCAGAGTAGAACTATGCTCCATAGTGTTTTCAATGGCTGTGATCTTTTGAAAGTAGATCATGAGTCCTTTCTTCCAAGGAGCTGCTGGGTCGATTTGAACCTCTAGCCTTTTGATTGGTAGCCAATTGCTTAACTGTTTACACCATTCAGAGACCCTAAAATGGGGATGGCACCTACTCTATTGGGTTGCTGTGAAAACTGAAAGAATTGCCACATAGTGGACATCTAATAAATGCCTTTATTTTATAATTCAAATTAATCCACAAAAAAAATTAGCCGTCCTATAAAATAAGGGAAGCTTTTTTCTTCTGAGCATGCATTCATGTGTGAGTTTCTATTCAGAGATACTTAGTTTCAAGTGGTAAAAGTGGTTGCTATAGAGATTTTTTGAGTACAACTGACTAGTGTATATATAATATTAGAAGCAAATCTCTAAGGAGTGAGGCTTTCAAACTCAAAAGCCAAGCCACAGCCTTCTGTAAAACTCCCACCTATTTTAGCCTACTCTTGCCCATCTCTATTGTGCTTGTCTGACCATAAATAATAACTGGCATCTAGTGAGTTCTTCCTTGTGCCAGGTACCATGCTAAATCCTTTATGGACTGTTAAAGCCAACTCTTATGCAAGTTAGGTCTTGTGGCCTCACCTCTTGTTCCATCTTTCCCTACAGACACCGGCAGTCTGGGTTCTGAGTGGATTCACCCTGGCACAACTTGGCAGAGCCTCACCTTTTACAATGCAAGGTACCTCTCAGCTCTCACCACGCAGCTCTCTGTTGAGGCCAAAGCTTGGAAATCTGCAGAACTCTGCTTTTCACCCATGTATGTAGAGCCCAGAGCACAGGAGTGCTAACACCCTGTCGGTGTTAGGTGCTGTCGAGTTGATTCCAACTCATAGTGACCCTATGCACAACAGCACAAAACACTATCCTCATAAACCTTGCTATGCTTGAGCCCATCATTGTAGCAGCTGTATCAATCCATCTCATTGAGGGTCTCCCCCTACTTCTCTGACTCTCCACTTTACCAAGCATGATAACCTTCTCCAGGGACCAATCTCTTCTGACCACATGACCAAAGAAGGTGAGACGAAGTCTGGCCATTTTTGCTTCTAAAGAACATTCTGGCTGTACTTCTTCCAGGATAGATTTTTTCATTCATTCTTCTAGCAGTCCATGGTATTTTCAATACTCTTCACCAATACCACAATTCAAAGACATCAATTCTTCTTTGTTTATCCTTATTCATTGTCCACCTTTCACATGCATATGAGATCATTGAAAATATCATGGCTTGGGTTAGACATACCTTAGTCTTTAAAGTGACATCTTTGCTCTTCAACACGTTAAAGAAGTCTCTTGCAGCAGATTTGTCTAGTGCAATATGACATCTGATTTCTTGGCTGCTGCTTCCATGAGTGCTGATTGTAGATCCAAGTGAAATGAAATCTTTGACAACTTCAATCTTTTCACCATTTATTCTGATGTTGCTTACTGGTCCAGTTGTGAGGATTTTTGTTTGCTTTATGTTGAGGTGTAATCCATACTGCAGACTGTAGTCTTTGATCTTCATTAGTAAGTGCTTCAATTCCTCTTCAATTTCAAGAAGCAAGGTTGTATCATCTGCATATTGCAGGTTGTTAATGAGTCTTCTTCCAATCCTAATGTTGCGTTCCTATTCAGATAGTCCAGCTTCTCGGATTATTTGCTCTGCATACACCATGTGGAATAAATTTTTTTCTCCTTGGACAGATGTCCAGAGATGAAGTTTATACAACCTCTTAGAGTGTGTCCCACAAGATTAAGCCATTAGTCATACTTAGTGGTAGACACCTCAATTACATAGTCTTATACTGATTTTTCTTTCTTCTTTCTCTGCCTTACTCCCCCCTTCTCCCTGACTCTTGTTCCCTTGGATTGCACTGCCTAACAAAGGAGAACAGAAGCCTTTGCCTTACGCTTTGATTTTTAGGGGATCCATCTGAAAAAGATGATCTCTTTTAATATTCACACCAACTTAAGAGATATATTTTAATATCTATTTCACAGAAGAGGAAACTAAGACTTAGAAAGCAAAATTACTCCCTCAAGGTCACATGGCCTGCCAAAAAGTGAAGACACAGGATTCAAACACTTGCAGTCTCACTCCAGAGCCCATGTGTTTAATCAGTATTCAATATTTAAAATCCCAAACCTTATGTTGGACCATAACATCTCCATTCTCCTCCACCAAATCTTTCATCACAGCTGTACAGATATTGAGTACGTATGACAGCTGTAAATAGATACTGAGCATGTATGGTGAGGAACAAATAAGGTGGGAAATAGAGTTGGAAACATGCTACTGTGAATTTTCCATCTTTTTAGGCCCTGCTCTTAGCATGAGTTAACATTTCCTGGTTTTGACATTCAACATCAATGCCAAGGTAAAAATATCCTGGTTATTGAAAGTCTCTCCATTTATCTAACAGGCCATCTATTCAGATAAATGCTCACTCAGCTTGCAGGTTTCTGCAGAAGTCCTCAGGAGGGCTCTGCAATAACTGTCCTAAGAGCTTTGAATAAGACATAGCTCCAGGCAACATACAGGCTCCGGATGGGGCCAATCCAAGCTGTGACTCACAAAAACTGGGTTTTGTGACCTCTTCTTAGGTTGATTAGAGACAAAGATTTGTGAAGCTTGGTATTTTCATAGCAATTAATTATCTCAACACACTTTACCTATCACCAGGCAACTGAAGGCACTCCTCATGTGGGTACTGTTAATACTGCTAATCCACCTGACCTTCCTGCAAGGTAGAAATCGCTCCATTTTTATCCCCATTTGGCAGATTTTAATTAACTTCTCAAGGCCAACCAGTTAATCAGTGGAAAGCAGAGATGAAAAGTGGGACACCTGCCTCCCTGTGCACTCAAAATTGTCATCCACCCTCCTATTGTCTTCCTTGTCAAGCCTTAAATCTGCGGGAAAAAGTCAATGGCCTTTTCCGGCAGAGAAGAGCTGTGCTGGAAAATCCATCAGTCTAACAGGTAGTCACACAGTCTGAGCGGTTTCCTTCAGAGGCAAAACAAATGATTCCTTTAGCTCTAGTATCATGGGTTTCTTTAAGATGGGAAAACTTGCATCAAATTGTCAAAACCCATGTAGGTTTAAAGATTTTCTGTCAAATTGAAAGCCTTTTTGTTTTAGTAAGATAGTGTTATGTCATCCGCGTGGCCCAAAGTAAACAGACCCACAATATGTTCCATATGCCAGATACACGGGGGAAGACAGGGCTCTTAATACAGCTAAGAGGCAAATAAATCAATTCTTAAAAGGCAAGCTAAGCCTGCAAAGCAGGCAGTTACAGGAACTACCTCCCGGTTGCATTTGAGGTTCTACTGTAGGAGCACCAAATTACAGTTTTTGTCTCAAAATAGAGAGGAGGCTGAATGGAGCATGCAGAGATGTCTGGATATTTTTGGAGTCTGGGAACATTTAGTACCCTCAATGCCAAGTATTCTATTAAAGCTCCATGAGATAGACAAATGGGAGGTTAACTGGAGAAGGCAATTCACAGCCCAATGGCACAATTATCAAAGGGAAAGGGGATCAAAAGGCAGGTAAACAGCTTTGTTTCATTTTTGTGGTGATACAGCTAAAAATAGTATTTGAAAAGTTATTGTGTGGGATTTGGTTTGATTAACAAGAACGTAGAAGTTTTTTTTTTTTTTTTTTAATAAAACTTAGCTGATTAATGGCTGTGAGACCTCTGTATGAAAGGTTATTTTTAACAAGGTGCAATCCATGTATCTGAGTGACCATCTTCGGTCCCCCTGATCAATTACACCTGCATGCATACACATGTGCACACCTCCATCCATAGAGATTATCTACATGTTCCTTGTGTTAGAAGCAAGGCTTTGGAACATGCTTTTTGCTTTTTTTTTTTCTTCGCTTTGGTAACATTTAATGTGTGATTGTCCAAGTCCTAATAAGAGAGTCATTCTGTTTATTTTCTTAGTCAAAATGATGCTAACAAAATCCATTCACCCTTCTCCTCCCCACAAATTAAATGAATTTAATTTTTTAAATATATTTATGTGATTTATATTTCATCAAAATATGGACATGGAATGAGAGATATCATTACTGATATCAGATAGATCTTGGCTGAAAGCAAAGAATACCAGAAAGATGTTAACTTGTGTTTTATTGACTATGCAAAAGCATTCAATTGTGTGGATCATAACAAATTATGGATGACATTGAGAAGAATGGGAATTCCAGAACACTTAATTGTGCTCATGAGGAACCTGTACATACACCCAGAGGCTGTAGTTCAAACAGGACAAGGGGATATTGCATGGTTTAAAATAAAGGAAGGGAGTGTGTTAGGGCTGTACGCTTTCACCATACTTATTCATTCTGTATGCTGAGCAAATAATCTGAGAAGCTGGACTATATAAAGAAGAGTGTGGCATCAGGATTGGAGGAAGGCTCATTAACAACCTACAATATGCAGATGACACAACTTGGCTTGCTGAAAGTGAGGATGACAGATGAAGATTAAAGACAACAGTCTGCAGTGTGGATTACATTTTAACATAAAGAAAACAAAAATTTTCACAGATGGGCTGATAAGCATCACGATAAATGGAGAAAAGACTGAAGTTGTTAAAGATTTCATATTACTTGGTTCCACAATCAACACCAATGGAAGCAGCAGTCAAGACATCAGACGACGTAATGCACTGGGCAAATCTGTTGCAAAAGACCTCTTTCAAGTGCTGAAGAGCAAAGGTGTTTCTTTGAAGACTAAGGTGCACCTAATCCAAGCCATGGTGTTTTTAATCACCTCATATGCATGTGAGAGCTGGACGACGAATAAGGAAAACTGAAGAAGAGTTGATGCTTTTGATTTGTGGTGTTGGCAAAGAATACTGCAAGTACCATAGACTTCCAGAAGAACTAACAAATCCATTCTAGAAGACACGCAGTCGTAATGCTCCTTGGAAGCGAGAATGGCCAGACTTCATTTGACCTACTTTGGTCATGTTATCAGAAGGGACCATTCCCTGGAGAAGGATACCTTGCTTTGTAAAGTGGAGGGTCAATGAAAAAGGGGAAGGCCCTCAGTGAAATGGCTGCAACAATGGGCTCAGGTATGGAAAGGATCATGGGGCTGGCACAGGACCGGGAAGGTTTTGTTCTGTTGTACTCAGGGTTGCTATTAGTCAGAGCCAACTTGATGGTATCTAACAAAAACAACAATTCATCAAAATTAATCTCAAACTGGGTATTAATCTCCATTGGGTCAATTTCAGTTCATGGTGACCGGTGTGTTTCAGAATAGAACTGCAATCCCTGGGGTTTTCAACAGCTGTCATCTTTCAGAAGCAGACTGCCAGGCTTTTCTTCCATGGCACTGCTGGGTGGATTCGAACCACCAATCTTTCAGTCAGTGGCTGAGAACTTAATCATTATATCACCCAGGGACTGTACTATTTCCACATTCCAATGCTGTGCAATCATAATAGGAAGGTTCTGGGTAATGAAGAAATAACCATAAATTCCTATAAGGTGTAACCAGTTTATAAAATCCTTATCATTATATCTGGCACATAGTAACTGCTCAATAAAGGGCAACTATTATCAGCTCCCTCTCCAGTCATATGTCTGCATGGTTAGGTATATTCTGTCTTGAGTTTTAATTGAAAAAGAAATTTAGAAAAAGCATATTTTATCAGAGATTTACTCCATGAAGCAACATCTGACCAAAGGGTCACTACAGACCAATGCAGTCTCCTCAACCTTCAAGGAACTACTAACAAATAGCTCATCCTGAACAGTCTTTCTCATAATATCTTGTAACATTTCAATTGAGGGCCATTTTATTTTAGTTCAATTTTTGAATAATTCTCATATTCAAATAATCACAACTGAACACTCTGGATTTTTTAAAAAAATAGACTCCCTTAATTGAAACAATGAAAGAAACAAATCACTTTCTCTAAAGAACTAAAAATTCCTTTATACAAAAAGAAGCCTGTAAAAAGCCTTAACATACAAAAAAAGAAGCCGGACAGTTAACAAAGGAGCTCTGGTGGTGCAGTACCTAAGGCATTTGACTGCTAACCAGAAGGTCCAGAAGGTTGTTGGTTCAAACCCACCAGCCACTCCATGGAAGGAAGACTGGGCAATCTACTTCTGTAAATATTTATCACCTTGGAAACCCAATGGGGGTTGTTATGAGTCGGAATCAACTTGATGACAGTGGGCTTGGTTTATTTATTTATTTTTTTACTTTTAATGAGTCCATTTTACCCTTCTTAGTTTCATTTCAAAAGAAGTTTATTTATGCTTCTTTTATTGATACATATAGGAGGTTTGGTTATTTGAATAAAAGATTTATTCTGCAGGCTCTTTGTTAGTTGTTGTTGTGTGCCATTGAGTCAAACCCAACTCATAATGACCCCTGCTTGGGTTCCCAAGTCAGTATCATTTTGGAAGTAGATTGCCCAATCTTCCTTCCAAGGAGTGGCTGGTGGGTTTGAACAGCCAGCCTTCGGGTTAACAGTCAAGTGGTTTAGGCACTATGCTACAGAGCTCCTGCAGGCTCTTTAGATCTTTGTTTTTCAAGGCAATACTCTCTGGAGAGGTTTTCTTTTTTCTTTTCTTTCTTTCTTTTGACACACAGAAAAAGAGAGAGAGAGAAGAGGGAAGAAAGAAAAGAACTATAAAAGCAATAAAAAGAATGGAAAATAACTTGCCTCCGGACTCCACACTGAAGAGCTGTCAGTGGCATAGGAATCTTCAAATCCTCGGTTATTAAATGCTCTCTCCATCTCCAAACTGCCCTCTGTGGACTGACGACGGAGGGTGTGAGTTGCAGTGGTGTCTTGGTGAGATACACCTTGGTGCCTGGTATCCCCTCTCTCACTTGGTGACTGTGAGTGGGCAGAGATGGGGTCATCTTCACCGTAAGACAGATTCTCAGAGTAACTCAGTTGGCTAGTCCCATCCAAATCTAAATTTGCAAGAAGGAAATTATTTCAAATGCATTATTTTCTGCACTTCTTTTACCTAGAGGAATTGAGCAATATAGCAAGTACAACAATTCAGGCCTAAAAGACAAAACCCACAAAATAATATTTGCAGAAGCATAATTCCATGCATATGGTGGCTAAACTTGGTCTATATAATCCAAAGGACCATAAACTTATCATGTGAGGTACAAGACAGTTTAATACCTTCCAGTAATATAAGTATAGAACATGTGCCTTTATGTTCAAAGGATTAAAATATAAGCATTATCATTTTGTTGAAGCTGATAGCCACAATATTTCCAGGGTTGGATTTAGAAGGTAAAGGACATCAATCCAATATGGAGGTCATATGGTCTTCAACTCTGCCTTTCTTGCTTTTCTCTCCCAAATTCATCATGTTACCCTTCTGCTCAAAAGGCTTTCATGGTTCTGTACTTGACTCATGGAAAGAACATGACTTGGGGTCAGATAATCTGGATTTAAATCCTGACTCTTCCTGTTAAATTTGAACAACAGTTGAACTCTCTGGACTTCTGTTTCCTTATCTAGTAAATGATGATAAAAGCTACCTTAGAGGGGCACTGTGGATAACTTATGAAATAATGCCATTTGGTAGCCAGCAGGTCTTCCATAAATCTTAACCTTCCTTACCTGTCTGGCCCAATCTGGTCTCATGCAGCCCATTAAATCTTCCTTTCTATTGTTTCCAAACTCACCCTCACCTCAGGTATCACTGGCTTATGAAAATGTCAACTATGTATGTCTGCTCATAAGAAAAAAAAAAAAAAAACACCTCACTGCCATAGAGTTGGTCCCAACTCATAGCGACCCCTCCTTGGGTTTCTGAGGTAGTATCTCTATGGAAATAGATTGCTCAATCTTCCTTCTAAGGAGTGGCTGGTGGGTTTTAACCACCATTCTTCTGGTTAGCAGTCAAATGCCTTAGGCACTACTCCATGAGAGGTCCTCAAACACTCCCTCTTGTCCTTTTTTTCCTTTTCCTGAAAATGCTACCAAGTCTTCCCATAAAAAAAGAAGAAACTGAAGAAGTAATAATAATAAACTCCAAACATGAAAAGCCCTGCCCTTACAATGTTTCTACAAGTGTATTTAAATTAAATTTCTGTAAGAATATATAGTAGGTATATAGTAGAGTTGGCAAGGGACAGGTTGTAGTCACTCCTTGGCCATAGCCAGTTACCTGAAGGGAGCAAGTAGTTGGACCTGTGGGTTCAGAACCATGGTCGCAGGGGACATCAAGCTCAATTGGCATGCCATACTACAAAAAACATTGTTCTACATCCTATTTTGGCAAGTAGCGACTGGGATCTTAAAAGCTTGCAAGCAGCCATCTAGATGCAACAACAGGTTTCTTCTCATCCACAGCAAAGAAGCATGAAGAAAACCAAAGATGCATGGAAACAATTAGTCCAAGGGACTTGTACACCACGCGATTGTCAGCCTATGTGACTATGAGACCAAAAGAACTAGATGGTGCCCGGCAACCACTGTCAAGCACTCAGAGGGGGATCTATGTAGGAGATCCTGGATAGAGTGGGAGAACAATATGGGAAAAAAAAACTCAAAATCATTTAAAAAGAAAAAAGAAAAGGACCAGGTTTCCTGGTCTGATAGAGCCTGGTAGAACCCCTGAAACTATGGCCCCTAGCTGCCCTTCAGCTCTGGAATTGAAACCACTCCTGGCCAAACAAAAGACAGGCATATGAGCTGAACATTTAAATTAGGTAGATACACTTCTTAGAGAGATCAATCATGGGAGAATAGAAGGACTGTGTCTGCACAGGGAGATAGCTCAGAGAGCAGGAGTGCATGGGAGGGAAGGACACAGGGAAAAGGTAACTAGGGGAGGAAATGGGAAACCGCTGTTGAACTGTGGGAAATTGCAGTCAATGTCATGAGACAAAGAGCATGTGACCTGCTGTATGGAAAATGAATTTGCTCTGTAAACTTTCATCCAAATCACAATAAAAATTTTAAGAAAGGTCTGCCCAGAAGGCTTCACTGGATAATTCTATGAGACATTCAGAAAAGCGTTGATACCAATTCAACTCAAACTATTCTAGACTATGGAAAAGGAAGGAATACTCCCCAGTTCATTCTATGAAGCCAGCATACCCTGGTACCAAAGCCAGGAAAAACACCCTTAAAAAAGAAAATTATAGACCAGTATGAATATGTTGTTGTTGTCGTCGTTATATGCCATCGAGTCAGGCCTGACTCATAGCAACCCCTCCTTGGGTTTCTGAGGCAGTATCACTACGGAAGTAGATTGCCCCATCTTCCTTCCGAGGCATGGCTGGTAGGTTAGAACCGCCAGCCTTCTGGTTAGCAGTCAAGTACCCTAAGCACTACACTACCAGAACTCCCAATATAGACATACAAATTCTCAACAAAATTCTAGCCAATAGAATTTAATAGCACATCAAAAAAATAATACATCATGATCAAGTGGGATTAATACTAGGGATTCAAAGATGTTTCAACATTAGAAAATCAATCAATGTAATTCACCACACAAATGAAACAAAGGAAAAAATACATAATAATACATCTAAAATGATACGGAAAAGACATTTGATAAAATCCAATACCACTTCCTCTCAACAAAATTAGAATGGAAATTCCTCAGCATAATTAAGGGCATATATGTAAACCCAACAACCAGTGTTGCTCTCTATGGAGACAGAAAGCAGTCCCCTTGAACATGAGAACCAGATAAGCATGCCCTTTTTATCATCACATTTATACAATATTATACTCTAAGTCCTACCTAGATCAGTAGGGTAATAAAGGAAAATAAAGGGAATCCAAATTGGTAGGGAAGAAGTAAAACTATTCTTATTTACAAATGACATGATCCAACATGTAAAAAAAAACTCCAGAGATTCCACAAGAAAATTAATGGAATAGAATGGCTCAGCAAATTACCAGCTACAAGGTCAACATATAAAAATCAGTTGGATTCCTCTATGCTAACAACGGAAAAAAAAAAAAAAAAAAAAAAACCGCACTGCTGTCAAATCCAGTCTGACTCACAGCAACTCCTCCTTGGGTTCTCGAAGTGGTATCACTATAGAAGTAGATTGCCCAACCTTCCTTCTGAGGAGTGGCTGGTAGGTTTGAACTGCCATCCTTCTGGTTAGCAGTCAAATGCCTTAGGCACTAGGCCACCAGAGCTCCTATGCTAACAATGAGAACTCCAAAAAAGAAATCAGGAAAACAGTATCAATTACCATAGCCATTGTTCTGGTTATCTAGTGCCACTCTAACAGAAAACACCACAAATGGGATGGCCTTAACAACAGGAGTTTATTCTCTTATAGTTTGGAGGCTTTAAGTCCAAGTTCAAAGTGCCAGGCTCTAGGGGCTGGGTGAAAGCCCCTCAACCTTGGGGTTCAGCTCTGCCTCCTGCTCTCAGCTCAAAGAAGTTAGAGGCTTTTCTTCATTCAGACAGCTACTAGCTGCTGAGGCTGCCACGCCCAAGGTTGACAAGTAAAATGGCACAGTCCCGATATTACCAAATCACACAGCAGGCCATTAATTCAAGTCCATTGCGAGTCCCAAGGTCAACAGAGCATGGTAGGCTGCTGAACAATGACACAGCTACATGCAGGGTTCAACGTGCCATAAGCTAGAGACCATACCCCAAGGCTTCTGCTCATATAGGGGAAGTAGACCACATTCCCTAAGGCAGCTACTCAGCTGCGCACAGTAGTTTCCACCATGGAGCTGATTACCAGTCTCATTACGGGGAATACTACTTTCAGCTGCCCAGCCACTCAACCAGGCCCAGCCAAGTTGACACACTAACTGAACTACCTCAGCCATGAAAAGGATAAAATACATAGGAATAAATCTAGGAACATAAGAGAATTATACTCAAAGCAATCTATAGATAGAATGCAAGCCCAATCCAAATTCCAAAGTAGGAGTTCTCACGTTACCTGATCTCAGAACCTACTACACAGCCACGGGAGTCAAAATAGCCTTAACAGTATTAGCACAGTGACAGACACATAGATCATTGGGAATCCAGAAATAAATCCATCCAGCTATGGGCAGCTGATCTTTGACAAAAGGCTGAAACCCATTCGATGGGGAAGAGACAGTTTCTTTAACAAATGGTACCAGCAAAACTGGATATCTATTTGCAGAAAAATGAAACAAGATCTATTCCTCACACCATATGCAAAAACTAAGTCAAAATGGACCAGAGACCTAAATGTTAAAACTAAGCTGTAAGGTTAGTGGAAGACAGCACAGGGACAAAGCTAGGAATCCTAAGTAGGCAGACTATCAAATGTAACTGATAATGTACAAGCAGCAGAAGATAAACCAGATAACTGGGACCTCTTAAAAATTAAATACTTATGCTCATCAAAAGACTTTGCCAAAAGAGTAAAAAGGAAACTTATAGATTGAGGAGAAGTGTTTGGCAATGACATATCTGACAAGGGTGTAATTTCTAAATTTATAGAAAGCTTCAACATCTCAACAACAAAAAATCAATAAACCAGTTTAAAAATGGGCAAAGACATGATCATACACTTCACCAAAGGAGACATTCAGGTGGCTAACAAACACATGAGAACACATTCACAATCATTAGTCATTTTTGTTGTTGTTGTTATGTGCCATCAAGTCGGAATTAGAGAGATGCAAATCAAAACTACAATGAAATACCACCTAATCCCAGCAATAATGGTAGTGAACAAAACAAAACCACAAATGATGGTGAGGATGTGGAGAGAATGGAACCCTTATACACTGCTGATGGTAATGGAAAACGGTATAACCACTACAGAAAACAGTATGATGCTTCCTTAAAAAGCTAGATATAGAAATACCATACAACCCAGCAATCCCACTCCTAGGGATATATCCTAGGGAAATAAGAGCTGCGACATGAATAGACATATGCACACCCAGGTTCAATTCAGCATTATTCACAACAACAAAA